GGGCTGGGGGGGGGGTGCTTCCTTGCTTTATTGTTTGGGCTGGGCCTGGTCTAATCCCCCGCATCTGCCTTGTGGACTAAATGGGGCCTACAGTCAGGGAGACAGGGGCTCTACAGATTGGGTAGGGCAGCCAGGATGGGTCTAGGTGTTGAGCTCAGTTAGGCACTGAGCAGTCTACAGAGGGGTGGCACCCAGGCTTTGTGGGATTGACACCCCTCTCGAGGGCCACAGTAAGGGGCTCCTGGGCTGTTCCCAAAGGTGTATGGCACCCACCTCCTGAGTCTACAAAGCCCTGAGGGAACAGAGAGCCATGGGTGGGGCAGACCCCTCCTCATTCCTGATCCCTCCCACCTCTGAAAGCTGATAGCCGTGGGGCCCTGTCACCGCCCAGGGAGCGTGAAATGGGGTGTGCCGCTGGGCAGCCACTGCAGCTCCTACTGCTGCCTGGGCCTATTTCCTTCTCTCTTTGGGCAGCCTCTGGCATCCTGACCTGCCCTGTGGATGCTGTCTAGGCCATTCTTGCCATCTGCCCCCACTCTGCCTGGCTCTGGCCCTGCCAGCTTTCTACCCAGTTTGGATGATGTCTCCCATGTACTTCACTTCCCCCCAGGCCCGAGAAAGAGAATCAAGAGATTCCAAGTGCTGGCTGGCTGGGCCTGGGGTTGTGGGACAGTTCATAGGCAGTATTGCCCTCCCTCCTGGTCAGATAGTAGTGGGACTGAGCCCCAAGGGGAAGGGGTGGCTCCCATGGATTTTGGAACCATTCCTGTGTCAACGGAAAATAACCAACTGTTTAACTGGCATCCTTTCCTGATTCAGCATCTGGATCTCTAAGGTACACCTGCAACTAGACTGGACCTTGGCCTGTCCATCTTTGAGTCTTTTCCTTATTTACTCCCCAACTCTCTCTACCTTCTATCTCTTTCTTGCCTAGAACTCCTTTCTGTACTCGGGCAGCCTCATGGGCCCATCCCTAGAACTACTATGCTACCCTGGGGACAGCACTGGACTCCCACATAGCCAACAGCAGTTCAAGTGCCAGACCTGATGACTTGAAGATCACACCAAGCGTGTGTGCGTGAGTGCCCAAAATCCCAAGAGGCGATTGGAGGAGAAGGGACTGCTCTGAGGCCATTGCCCCTGGGGAGTGATTTTTTCACTTTTTCTCTGTCTCTCTATGGCAAGAATCTTAAAACAACAACAACAAAGCTGCTGTCCTGGAGTCTAGTTCAGGCTTCAGGCTGGAAGACCAAGCCAGAGGTCTGAGTTGGGAAATAAGTTCTCTCTCCTTTGGGGAATGTTCTTTGTGTCAACTTTAACATCCAGGGGCTAGGGATGGGACTAGCAGGAGTAACCTTTGTAACCTTGGCCTGAGAACACCCAAAGCCCTTGCTTCAGGCCAAAGCCAAAGTCCTAGGGAGCCCAGGAGAAAAAAAACTAGAAGAACCCAGTTCCTTCCTGAGGGCTGAGGCCTACCACTGACAGCTCTAAAGGGAAGGGGGATTAGGCCTGACTTAGCTCAGACAATGTGTTGGGACAGGGGGCCTCAGCATTGCGCAAGCGCCCTAAGAACCCCTTCCCCTCCCCCTGCTTACAAGGGGCTTGTAGAGAGAGTCAGGTAGTGCTGCAAAGGTGGGGGCAGGTGGAGGGTGGGGAGCAGCTGCCTGGGGCCCAGAAGGGCTGTGGGGCGTATCTAGTTCTCCTTCCCCTTTCCCCAGCACCCCCCTTCTTTAGGCCCTAGGGCTCTACAGCCCACCCTGAGCTGGAAATCAGGCCAGCTCAGGAGATTCTGAGCAGCTAGACTAACATCCCTTGGCCCCCACCATAGTCACACACCCTGGGCCCCAGTCCTCACCCTGTAGGCCAAAATTCTGTCAGGCAGTTCCTCCTAGTCTCTTACCACCCTCCCAAATACCCTCTTCTCTCCCTAGTCTAGGTTCTCTGGCCTAGAGAGTTTAAGAGATAGGAGCCTGGGGTGAAGAAAAGTCTCCCTGGGTTTCTGTTTTTTTCTGTTACTGGTGTCTCTTCAGCTCTGCCTCCACCACCCTCCACACCTCCTCAGATCACATCCCCTTTCACTTTGGCCATCCTAGCGCCATGGAAGTTCTGGGCAGATTTGAGAAGGGGCCATCTGGCCATTCCTCACCTTGGCCACCAGGTGTCAGACTTTGTCCAGCTGGGAGGAAGGACCTGGTTAACTGTTTCTACTCCATCAACCAGGCACTAGGAATCAGGGCAGGTTGGGGAGGAGTCTAGAGGTGATCTCTAGACTAGAAAGGCTGAGGGAACTTGATGATTGAGACTGAGGAAAGGACTGGAACTCTAGCTCTAAAGCTTTCTCACACTTATTCCAACATTGCCCTCCCCCCAACCCTACTGACAGGGGCTTTGTCCCCTGCTGGGAAATTCAGGAAACAGGCTGAGTCAGGGAGCTCAAGAATTGACGGGACAAAGGCAGGGACAGTCCTAGCTCCACAGAAGAAGGGGGGAGCTGAGATGGAGCCACCCATGAGAGCATTCAGCCAGGCCTGAATCACTGACCCTTGCCCTCTAGGTTAAGGGGAATAGAGGACTTCCCTTTGCCCTTCCCCATTTGGGGTGGTTGTAGTATGTGTAAGACGAGCACTTCAATGAGTCTCTTCATATACTGAGGGGGCCCCTAATGAATGTTGACTGAGTGCTGAGTAAGTCTTTGCAAAAGGTTGAAGATGGAAGGTCTGACAGTTTTGCTGCTTCCTGTAAGATCTTCCTCCTCTGTACCCACTTCTGCTATTCCAGAAGTTGTCTCCTGCCGCAGGTGACAGTTCTCTGCCTTATGCTCATTGTCTTAAACACAGGTACATGTCCAAGCACCCACGAGGCTGAGATTTCTAATCCATCCATGCTCTGGAGATGATGAGGAAGAGGTCCTTCTCTCCTTCCCTCTTATTCTCCCTAGCCTTCAGGGACATAAGAACTTCTAGAGATAATGAGAAGTTCACCCCCCACACACACACACCCTGTGCCACTGCAGGGCCTCAGGTTTTCTAGATTCTTATGCTAGTCTTAGGATACCTGGGTCCCTGACTTTAAGGCCATACTTTAGAAACTGAAAATAAGTAACCAACAGAAACTCTTGAGGCAGCTGTGAATGGAGAACAAATGACAAACTCATAGAAAACACTGATGACCCATCATTTACCAAGAGCTATCTGCCCCAT